CATCCCCTCTGGGGGGTGATTTCTCGCTTTCTGTCTCTCTGTCTCTCTCTGTCTGTCTGGCGAATGCACGCGCCCTATAGCAAAAACCTCTCCAAAAAAAAAAAGGAAGAAAGGCCTAGACTTTAATACCAACTCTGCCCTCCAGGCTGGGGGCTCTGTGGAACCCACCTAACCTCGCTGACCTGGGGGAGGAAGCCTCTGCTCGGCTCAGTGCATGGCAGCGAGGGCCCGCCCAGGCTGGCCCTTTTACTCCGGGACGCTCACAGCCCCCACCACGGTGAGCAGGGCTCGGCACAGATACGATGAGCAAAGGAAAGCATGGCACCATCAGAACTTAACAGCCCCTTGGGCCAAGATTTTAGCAGGGCCCAAACACAGCACGGTCCCAAACTCGGGGCTGAGATGAAGTCACAGACAGTGACAGGGAGCAGGGGCTCTGAGCCCGGCATCACTAGTGGAAAATGGTGACCACCGGATTGAAGCTTTTTACAGATTATCTCACTTGGCCGTGACAGCAGCTGCCGAAATAAAGAGGTCTTCAGGAAGTTCACAGAAATGTGTATTATGCAAAAGCCACACATGAATTTAAAAAACCTGAGCATCAAAACAAACCTGTACTTTAACTGCATTTGCCCATGAACTCTCTGAAGTCCCTCATATTAGTGCAGAGAACCCTGCACCTGCCCAGCTCCGCTCCGGGCACTGTGTGCTCTGGGCACTGCATGCTCTGGGCACCGCGTGCTTCCACTCGGGTAGCTTGAACAGATGGGGTCAGGACGAGCTCATCTTCAAGAGGAGAGGCTGTGCTGGTGCCAGATGCCAACACACCTCTGTTCCCAAGAGGCCAAAGAGGCAGCTGCCAGGGGTGCGGAGTGGCTTTCAGTGACCAGAAACCTGCACAGGGTGGCTGGGGCAGCCTGTCCTGGGTCCGCAGAGCCACTGCCCAGTGCCGTGGGCCCAGGATGGCAGGTTCTTTGGCTCACTGACAGTCCCCTGGGAGCCAGGCTGGGAGTTCGAGTGCCAGCTGGACTTGTGACCCCAGGCAGTCTATGCCTCAACCCCCTCCTCTGCCAACCTGGGCGTAATAACAGGAACCGCACCCACAGGGCTGCCGGGATCACAAGAGCAGGGATGGCCACCCCTCAGCACGATGCTAATCTCACCACGAGTGCTTGCCAAGTCCTGGAAAGGACTGCCAGGTCCGCCCCCAGCCTCGGATGGGGGAAATTACAGCCAGTGGCCAGGCCAGGCCCTGACCCCAGGGTCCACATCTCCCCGGTCACCTCGCTGCCGCCCCAAGTGAGAACCCGCACTTTGGACAATGCTGCAGAGGGGTCGGGTGAGCCCCACCCCTGGAGAGGGCGCGGGGCAGATACCTTGAGGATGGAGTTGTCCTGGCGCGTGTTCTTAGTGTCATAGCCCTCCAGCAGGCAGCAGCGTACCGTGGAGCCCGAGCCCGCAAACTCGGCCAGGTTCAGATCGGCGAAGCCCAGCTGTGAGGGGAAAGGAGTGTGTGGGAGACTGCAGGGAGGTGGGTTCGAGGCTACAGGCACGCCAAAAGGGTTAATTTGATGGGGGTGGGGGCGGGGAGGCAGGCAAAGCCCCTGGGCCGCCCCACAGCCCCACAGACGGTTGCATAACCAGGACCCAAGGACAGAGGCCCTGGTCGAACACAGCAAGGCCAGGAGCTCACATCCCTGAGTTGCACAAAGCACCCTTTGTGCCGCGTCCCAGCGTGCACTGGGGCCAGCGCGCCTGAGATGAAAACATTGTTGTCGGTGACACAGATGCATTGTTCCCTGGGAAACAAGGCCGAGCTGTCGGAGCTGCCCCACATGCGACAGGGGAGGAGGGAAGGCCCGTGGGAACCTGGTGGCCGGGCGGGGTGGTACGACGCCCATGGGCTGTGAGCGGGACAGGAGGGGAGGGAAAGGAATACTCTGTAGGGCAGGCAGGATCCCCGGGGAAGTCGCCCTGTGGGAGCCAGAGTGTGGGGCTGGTGGGCAGAGGCCAGGGTCTGGTCAGACCCTCGGGGGCCCTGGCCTGCTCCCAGATGCCAAGTCCAGAACAGCTGTAAGGAGGGTGGTGGGGCGTGGGGGGCAAAGAAGAGCAGGCGCTAGTGGCCTCTCAAGAGGAAGCAAGTCAGCAGACTGGAGGGGAGCTGAGTGGAGGGGAGGGGTGCCAGGCCTGGAGACTTGGGAAGGCCCAACACATCGGGGTTTTGTTTTTGTTTTTGTTTTTTTAGAGATTTTTGCTATATGGCATGTTCGCTTGACAGAGAGATAGAGAGACTGAAAGCAAGAAACCACCCCCCAGGATGGCTGGACACAGCACAATCCCTTCTCCTCCAGTCTCCTCTCAGGATTTTAGGCACGTACACACATGTGCCCAGCATGAGTTTCAAGCTTCTGGTTCCAAGACTCGAACTGCAGTTAACTACATGGGAATCCAGCGACGTAACCATTATGCCATCTGCTGGTCCCCACATCAGGGCTGTTAAGCCTGCTGTGCACTCGTTCCTACTACAGTGTATAGGGGTCTGGGCTCCAGAATCAGGGAACTGGGTTTGAATACTAGCCCTGCCACTGAACCCCCACTTTACAGAAGAGGAATCTGAGTTCAGGGTTCAAAAGAGACTTGCCCAAAGCCACACAGCTTAACTGACAGAGCAGGGCCCAAGTTAGGGCCCCTTGGCATGCCCCAGCCCTGCTCTGTGCCCTGGCTTCCTCTCCTGTGAACTGGGAGGGAAGCCACCAGTGGAAGCTCGGCTACAGAAGGAAGGAAAGGGGCCTGCAGGGTCAGGCACATGGTCTGACACGTGTGGAGGCCTGACGCAGGTTTGCCGGGTGGAGGTGGGAAGCTCCTGGCTGTTTGTGGTGTTTTTTCCCGGTTGGGTGGCTGTCCTCACCCATGGGAATCAACAGGAGAGGTTTCCACCATGACACCACACCCTGCCCGCCACCTGGCCTCTGCGCTGGAGAGGGCTGGCCCAGTCTGCTGCGCTCCGAGCTCTGGCAGTGGGAAGGCTGCGCCCTGAGCAGCACTTCCCTCAGGCCTTCCACTTTTCCCCTCCGCTGCCCTGATCTAGCCCACCCTGCTGCCGCTGGGCATCCAAGAGCCGGGAGGGGTAGGTGAGAGGCCCCCATAGAGAAGAGGGAAGGACAGAACAGGCTGCTTCTCCCAGAACCCTGGTCTCCCTCTTTCCCAGGAGAAAAGCTTTGACTTTATGGGCCTGAACTGGGTATGGGTCACTGACAGTCCAGTGAAAACACAGACGTTCACCAGCGGGGACAGTCCCCAATGTGTGATGGGACATTGCTGCTGTTAGAAAGCACACAAAAACACATGACACGGTGTGCTGGGTGGGTAACGCTGGGTTGTAGAGTCCGAGCACCTGCATGCCAGAACAGCGCACGGGGGCCGCAGGTGGCGTGGAGGCTAAGGTGCTGGACTCCCACGTGGCCCACTGCGGTGTGAGAATGGACTGGAGGCTTGAAACTCATGTTGGGCGCACATGTATGCACGCCCCAGATCCCGAGAGGAGAATGCAGTAGAAGGGACTGTGGTGTGGCCATCTCCCCTGGGGGAGATTTCTCACTTTCCCTCTCTCTGTCTGTCTCTTACTAGTGAGCACACGCGCCCTATAGCAAAAGCAAACTTAAAAATAATAACTGTAAATAAAGTAAATAAGCAATTCTTTAAAAAGGGACATGTCTCCATGCAAACCGATACACAGTAAAGGCGGATGTGTCTTTAAGCCATGTGCACACGTTTTTATTCACTGCTCTGTATGTATGACATATTGCATTTTTTTTTTTTTTTGTAAAAGATCTGGAAAGATCTCAATCTCAATGGCAGTGGCATCCTGGGAGAAGGCCTAGAGAGAGGGAGGGTGATGAAAATCGGCCCTCTTACTCCAGGAACTTAGAACTATTCATGTTGCAACAGGCACCTGCTACAGAGAACACCAATAAAGATATTTCATCTCACACTGGGCTGGATCTCCTGACTGGGCGAGAGGGGGCTGGATGTCTTTCTGGAAGCTTCTCTCATGCCTGTCCTGTGGCCCCTCCCACCCCGCCCCTCCACACAGCCCCTTACCTTGGAATAAGTTTTCCCGCCTTTCAGCTCCTGCAAAGGACACAAGCAACAGGTGACTAGGGACTCCAGGGGCCTTGCTGTCTCCCCAAACTAGAGCACCAGGGCAGGAGGGCAAGAAAAGAAGCAGAGAGACACCCCGTTCTCCCTCTGGGGAGGGTCCTGAAACCACCAGGGCCCCATACCCACCCCTACCCAGGGTGTCCAGCCCCTCCCACCCAGGGGCCCAGCCTTGCCTTGCGTACGGACACGCGGAAGATGCAGGGGTCCAGCAGGCCTGTGGCCGGGTTGGCGCTCATCTTACACACGAAGGAGAACCTCTTCCGCCACCGCACGCAGTTCTCCTGCACCTCCTCCCTGCGTACAGACAGGTGGGACGGGTGAGTACCAGCACGGTCGCGGTCAGTGTATCGCGGTCAGTGTACGGGGACAGGGGCTCGCCCCAGCAGGAGGGACTCAGCAGGAGGGACGGGGTGGGGAGCGCTCTCCCTTCTCCCTTTCTATCACAGTGACCTATTTTCACAAGAATGCACCTTGTATAATTGTTAGGAAAACAGAAACAAAAGAAAACATGTAACAAAAAGGGAACATGCACAGGAGGAGGGTGAGGTCAGGCTGGGTAGTGCCCCCTGACCTCCGGGAGCTTACAGCCCTGCAGAGCCTCCCTCTGCTCCCAGCGTGGCCTCCGCCACCCTGCCCTGCGACCTTGGGGGGTTCCTTCCACTGCCATCCCCTCTTCCCAGCCAGGCTTCAGCGGGCCCATTGGCCCATTTTATAGGTGGAAAGGCTGAGGCCAGGTACCGCCCACGGTATACAGATGAGCTGGGCCCTAAGCACAGTCTGCCGGACCCCAGAGCCCCCAACTTCCCACTACCAGCAATGACAGCAGTAACAGCGACTCTAGTACTTCCCCTGGGCCAGGCACTATTCGAGAGCTTCCTAAAAGCCAGCAGTCACTAGAGCCTGCTCCAGAGCCAGAGAGAGGCGATCACGCCAGACGCTTCCGCCACTGAGCTGCCACATCGGCCCATCCACGTGCAAAGAACCTGGGTGCGTGGGGTGAGCCTCACCTGAGGTCCACACCCCACAAGAACAGAGCAAGGACCTAAGAAGAGCCTGGCTCTGGGTGTGAGGGGGCAACTCAGGGCGCTTGGCTTCCCTGACAGTAGCTGAGGGTCTGCTCTTCCAGCCCCCCACATTCTTCCCAGGCCTGGGAGCGTGGCAATGATGAAAAAGGCAGCAGCCCTTCGGCAGGGAGGGGCTCGGTGCCCCGGGAATGAATGGGAGCTGGTGGGAGCAGCTTGCGGAGGACTCTCCCAGCTGCTGCAGCCCAGGATCTGGGGGCGGTGGCAGCAGCGCGTGGCAGCCTGGCAGGGTGGAGGGCCCATCCCTGCAGCGGCTCCCCACCCCCACAGCCCGCCTAGGATAACTGGTGCTCGGGAAGGGGCGGCCGCGGAAGGGAGTGGCTGGGGGGGGGGGCAATAATTTCCAGCCGGGCC